AAACTTTGTAATAATCTGGTCAATGTAGATAGCCAAGATGATTTTGTTTTGATTGTAACTATATTTAATAACTTCTTTTCATGACAAATATGTTTTGAGATGTTTGGAGTAGTTTATAAAAGTCTAATTCTTAGATATCAAATAACATAAATCAATAATTGTTCACAGTTTATTTTAATATATTTAAGTGGGCCAGTTCATTTGAAAACCTAAAATACCCAAAGCCAAATCTTTACCTTCAATAAAATACCACTTCTAACTATAAGGGATTTACAATACTGTAAAGATTAAAAAAGAAGAAACTAAAAGAAAACGTTATGTATGTGATAGTTCATGACATTTAATGTTTGCTTTTATATATTCTTGGGAAAGGGCTTAATACTATTGTAAGATCTTTAATTAATTTTATGATAATTTACATTTTGAAATCTATGTTGGTTAGTGTAGCAAAATAGAATACAAGATTAATTCTGGGCAATTAGTATTAGGCACAAGCACTCAACTGGCTCTCAGTATCAAGAATTGTTCCAGCTGACCTCTAACTTCATATTGCATAGCACTTTAGGAATGTATACCTTTCTGAAATTGCTTATTTAAGTCCAAAATGTCATCATGTTAAAAATAAAAAATGTCCTGATTTCTGAGCAAGTTAATTAAAAAAGAGATTAACATCGCAATTTTCCACTACCTCTCATTTTTTTTACCAAGTTATCCTATTTTTTACCAGATCATATTTCACTCCTTCTTAACCCTAAGATAGGCAATTAACTAATTGCATTAGGTGCAATACATCATTATGTTCTAAACTTCAGCAATGGCTTCTCTTGGCTCATGAGCCACATTTAAAAACTAATATTAAGCTATTTACCTATTTCATCAAAACAGCTTAAGTCTATATTAACTATAAAAGGCTCCAGTTGTCCCATAAAAAGTATGACATGCCTCTACTGGAGTTTTATATACTTTTTTTTATGCTCCATCTTTTCTAAATAAATGTGTCACAAATATTTGGAAAACAATCTAAGAAGTTAAAAGAAAAAATGAAACCACAGTTAAACCATAGCTTTAAAATAGCCTGAATTGAAGATTAGGATATAACTGATAATCTCCCGCTATTCCATGATTGTGAAAAAAAACACCAAAAAACCAACTTTAAAATTTTGCTCTTCTAGATTTATTAACCCAAATGGTAAACTTCATCTTACTCCTGAAGCTATATTGACCCACTAGATTTAGGGACAAATGGAGTCTAAAATGTATCTGTTCATTAAACAAAATCAAATAACTTAAGACTTCAGACATTTCTAAGTACTCAAGGACATTTTAAAAAATGTTCCAGATGAGATCAGACATATTTTTATAATTGTACTCTGAAAATGTAGGCCTCCTTGGTGAAATGCCACAGGAATAAAAATAAAGCATACATAGGGGAAATCAGGAGAGTCAATTACTCTTATCTGGTTTAAGATAAGAAATTTTCTCAACTTCAACAGTTTCTTTCTTTGAAACAGGACCCTTAGGAAACATTTTCATCTTCACCCATTTATTAATTCCAAATATATTTACTAAGCATAGACCAAGTGCTAGGCACTGTCTAGACATCTCAAAGACATCAATAACTATGTCTACCCTTAAGTAGCTTACAGATAGGGTCATATAAAACCAATAGATAGAATAAATAAGCAAATACATCAAGGGCAGTAAGGGCTACAAGAAAAAAGATCATAAATCTAGTAAAACTATAATTTATCTTTAATGGTAATCCATGTACACTCAATAAGGGATAGGGTATAATGTAGGATATTTTCTATAGAGAAATTGTGGTTTTATCAAAAGCTCTATGTAATTAGACGAATAACTCTTATCAAAGATTATGACTTCTACCATCCACAGTAAACAACATAGTAAATGGCATTGAACTGAATCTTCTTCATTTATAAATCATTCATGCTCTGATTTGTGGAAAGTTACTGATCTAAAAGACCTCAAAAAAAATCAACCTACTTCCACAGCTGACACACTTTCCCATGTAATTAAATGTAATTTGTGAGTGGTGGAGCACTGTGGGGCGTAGTGGTTACAAATTCGCCTTCAATCTGCAAGGTTAGCGGTTCAAAATCAAGGTTGGCAGGGCTTTCTACTCTGTACAGAGTCAGTCTCAGAAATGCACGGGCCATCGACTTGATGGCAGTGAGTTTGGTTTAGTTGGACAGTCATCCTTTGGGTTTATCTTTTTTATTTTAAATCATTTTACTGGGGGCTCATACAACTCTTATCACAATTCAGATATTCATCCCTTGTGTCAAGCATATTTGTACATGTGTTGCCACGATCATTTTCAAAACATTTTCTTTCTACTTGAGTCCTTGGTATTGGCTCATTTTTTCCCTCCCTCCCTCAGGAACCCTTGATAATTTATAAATTATTATTACTTTTTCATGTCTCACACTGACCAATGTCTCCCTGAACCCACTTTTCTGTTGTCCATCCCCCCCAGGAGGGGGGTCTATGTAGATCATTGTGACCGGTTCCCCCTTTCTCCTCCCACCTTCCTCTTCCCCTCCTGGTATCACTACTCTCATTATTGGTCCAGAGGGGTTCATCTGTCCTGGATTCCCTGTGTTTCCAGCTGTTTTCTGTACCCATGTACACGCTCTAGTGTAGCCGGATTTATAAGGTAGAATTTGGGTCAAGATAGTGTGGGGGAGGAAGCACTAAAGAACTAGTTATAACAAACTCACCAAATGACTGGGTGGGACCATGCCCTTGGGTCCAATTCCTCTTTTCCTGATGGGTCTGGGTAGGAGTAGGTTGGGAGGGAAGGCGGACAGACTTTTTTATTTAGTTGTGAGTGACTGTTAACAGGGTTAATTGTGATTCTAAAAACTTGGAATGCTAACATGAGGATTGGTTAATTTTGATGTCCTGCTGGCTATAAAATGAGTCATTTCTGAAACAGGAAAATGAATATGACTACCATTAAGAAAGAAGAGCCAGCAGTGGAATATATACCCTCTGGACCCTGATATCCTTGCCCGCAGGACCTCCTCCTGGCGGAGACAGCGCTGTGCTAGCAGAACCAAGAGCGTTAGAGAGTAAGTGAAGCGAAGAAGTGCCTTTGGGAGGAGTCTTGCTTGGGGAGTGGGGTGCCTCCAGGCATTTAAGGGGGGCGCCAACTAGGTTCTGCCTACTCCAGTTCTGCCTACTCCCCGAGCTAAAGCTGAACACTTTCCAGGTGACACAGTGCAATGAAGTGCCCGTTAGGCATTTTTCAGCGGTACTAAAAGAGCTTTGTAACATTGCCTGAGCAGGGTTGAGGCCAAGAGGCCACTCAGCTGAGAGGCTGACAGAGATGCCTGTGGGCATGGCAGAGACAAGGCTGTCTTGACAGGAAGAACTATCATCTGAGCTTTTTTCCAATCCTGAATTACAGCCTGCTGGTGGGAAGACTTCCTTTTCTATACTTTGGAAGTGGGGATTGTCTGTTTGTTCTGGGTGGTCACTGCAGTGAATTACCAAACCTCGCAGAGTCGTACAGAGTGAGGAGCGCTGTGGGAGGGACAGCTGGGGTAAAGGCACATCTAACTCCTGCCTCTGATCAACCTTCCCCAGGATCTGGTCCTATTTCATTCTCCATCCACCTTGGGAAGTCACGCAAGGCCCCAGACACCATTACTATACAACATTTCTGCCTCTGACATTGTTTATTAACTAAAATCAATCAGAAAGATCCAGGTCTAATTTTGTGTTCTATTGCTATTTACAATAAATAAATTCTACTCCATTTCTAAAAATACGAGTGATATAATTTCTGTGAAAAATACAATTGTCATTTTCTATTTGAATTCTATTGCTACGTAACATGAAGTGAACTGGCATCTGGCCGTTCGGAAGAGACCATGTTCCAAAAGTTTCCAAGTTCCAAAAGTTCCAAAAATTGACTTAATGTGATGACAACAGAAGAGTAGTCCAAAAGATAATAACTAGGACAGTTGCAAAATGAATTATAATAATTAACCAATAAATCTATAACCATTTCCAGTCACTTGGGCAGGAGTCTGGTGTTGTAACCCCCTCAGGGCCTCAAACGAACCCTGACTAATGTTGTAAATGTGGTTGGTGTCTCAAGGCATTATCTGGACCCAAGACCATCACCAGCCCCAGCTGCATTGTCTGCAGTAACTGCAGTCACAGACAAAGCTACCCTTCATGAAGAAGCATATGGGACAGGTCGAGTATCTCTGTTACTTGGGTCCAGGTTATTACAATTTGATTAGGAGCC